AGGAGCTTATTGCACATGAGACATGACATTGAGTCATGTGATCAAGGTGGAGAAGATCAAGACAAGACTTGGCTTGATGGACCGGTTGTAAGCGTGAAGGGCAAGTCGAAGGCTTTGGAGTGATGGACCGCGTGGCGGTGAAGCTTGAGCAAGACTTGGCGCCGATGGACGATGGCAACGGTGAAGGGCAAGTGAAGTCAAGATCGATGAACCAATATGATCATGTGATGATATGAAGTGGATCATATCATTGTTGATCGTGTTGGTGCATGTGTTGCATCGACATTGAAGGAGATGGAATGGAATGCGCAAGGCAAAGGTATAACCTAGGGTATTTCATTTCACCGGTCATAGGTGTGTAGAGAAGTTTATGACCGGGTTTAGGATAGATGGCCGTACTATCAAGAGGGGCAAACTTGTTTGCATATCGGTCATCTAGTGCCACTCGAGTGATCTAACTTTGCATTGTCGCTAGGATCGAGTGGCGTGGCAAGTTGAGTGGCTAACATCCTTTGGGAAATGATTGTGAAAATGCTAACACACATACACATGGTGGTGTACACTTGGTGGTGTTGGCACATTTACAAAGGAGGTGGTGTTTGCAGGGGTGAGGCGGGATTCGGCGCTTTCGGAAAAATAGAATGCCTATTTTCTATTGCGCCGGATGCAAGTTCTTGTGGTTAGCACATTGGAGCAAGGGTGAAGAAGTTAGAAGTGAAAACGAGTTGATCGCGAAGATGCTGGCGTCGGTCCACTGACCGGACGCTGGGTCATGCAGCGACCGAACGCTGAAAGGCTGCGTCCGGTCAAACTGATGGGTCTGCTCTGTACCGAGGGTATTGCACCGGACGCTGGTCTACGTCCGGTCAAGGTGGACCGGACGCGTCCGGTCGAGAAAATATGCCTCGGGGAGCTTACTGAAAACGACCGGACGCTGGGGCTTCAGCGCCCGGTCAGTTTTGCTGCTGCGTCCGGTCAAGTCAAGTGACCGTTGGAATCAGGACACGTGGCAGTCTGCGGGCGACCGGACGCTGAGGTCTAGCGTCCGGTCAACACGACCGGAGCGTCCGGTCGGCCCGACCGTTGCCCAGTGAAGGGGTAACGGCTAGTTTAGCCCTTAGGGCTATAAATAGAAGTGGCCCTCGGCCATGGCTGGAGCTGAGCACCTCAAGGAACTTAGTGTCCATGCTTGTGAGTGCTTGGGAGCCCTCCATCACACACATACTTGATAGCGATCATCCGATTGTGTGAGTGAGCGATTCTAGTGCGATTGCATCGTGAGGTTGCATCGAGTGGCACTAGGTGATCGAGTTGTGAGCCGGTGGTGCTTGTTACTCTTGGAGGTTGCCACCTCCTAGACGGCTTGGTGGTGGTCTCCGTCGAAGCGCGCAAGAAGCTTGTGCGGTGCTCCGGAGAAGTGCTTGTGAGGGGTACTTGTGCTCGCCCTGCGGGAGTCGCGAAGAGCAACTTTAGTAAAGCGTGTCATTGAGCTACCCTCACTCAAGGGGTAGGTTCTTGCGGTGCCCGACGTGCGGGCTTAGCGGGTGATGCTAATTAGCCGCCGAACCACCAAGTGAGCGATCGACACAACGGGGACTAGCGTGTTGGCAAACACGTGAACCTCGGGAGAAAAATCATCGTGTCAACCTTGTTCTTCCCGTTGGTTTGCATCCCCATTACACAAGCTTGCAATTACTTTTATATATATCTTAAGCTTGTGTAGTTGCTCTTGTAATTAGATAGCTTGTGTAGCTAGCTAATTACCTTCTTGCTTGTGTAGCATAGAATTAGCTCGCTTGCGTGGCTAATTTGGTTTTAGTAACCTTGTTAGTCACATTGCTTAGTTTATGTAGCTAAGTATTTGCGCTCTCTAATTAGGCATTGGTTGCCTTGTTATTGAGCATTGCTAGTGAGCTTAGTTAGCTTTGTGCTTTTGCTTACTAGCATGTGTAGGAGCTCCCTTGTTACTTAAAGTACTAGTGGCATAGGTTTGTGTGACCTTGCTCCTAGAATTGTTTAGGAGAGCTCTAGCTAGCCCGGCACCTTAGTTGCTTTATTAGTATCTTTGCAAGGTGCTAGTGAACATATATAGAGGGGTGTAGTCTTGGCTAGACCGATTGTTTTAATTTCACATTTATATCGGTTAGCCGACGCGATTAATTTTAGAAAAGACTATTCACCCCCCTCTAGTCCGCCATCTTGACCCCTTCACTCGGCCCGGCGAGGTGGTTTCCTTCCGCGCCTTCCACGAGCGCGGGTTAGGATACCCCATGCACTGGTTCCTGCGTGGGCTCCTCAATGAGTGGGGTCTGGAGTTGCCCGACTAGGGTGCTGCATATCGCCGGCTTCATCACCATCTGCGAGGCCTTTCTCGGGATGGAGCCGCACGCGGACTTCTTCCGATGGCTGTTCTCTGGGCAAACTTTGTTGGTGGGGAATCCGCCCGAAGCCACGCCGATGGGGGCTTCGCCCTGTAGAAGAAACCGAGCGCGGGGGGCTCGTATCCCATGTATATCCCCTGCGACTCCAACCGGGGGTGGCACGATGAGTGGTTCTATATTAGGAACCCGGTGGAGGCGTCGTTCCCGGCATTCACCGACAAAAGGCCGGAGAGGCGGGAAAGTTGGTCATGGGGCCCTTCCCGTCGGGAGAAGAAGAAGGTGGAGATCATCGAGGCGGAGCTCCAGAAGCTTGTGCGGTGCGGCCTTGACGGGGTGCGGGTGTTCCACGCCCTCTACCGCCGTCGGGTTGCTCCGTTGGGAGAGGGCGTGGCCGATGTGGAAGTACGGTGGCCCGACAGACCCCGATCGTGCGTCACCGGAGGAGCTGCCGAACGTCGAGGTCTGGAGTCGCCTCGACCGGGTGCTGCAGCTGAAGCCCAAAGAGAAGGTCGATGGAAAGCCCAAACCTCTCAATGCCTCGGTGGTGTCCAAACTGGTATGCTCCCCTTTCTTTACTCCGTGTTCTTTTCCCCTTTGCTTTCCTGCTTTTTTGATTTTGAGTTGTCTGTTTTGTAGGGACTTGAAGCTTACAAGTCCCGGCCGCACCTTCCGAAGGGCCGGAGGGCACGGCTCGGCAGGCCGCCCAGAAGGAGACGGCGGATGCCAAGAAGAAGAAGAAAGACGAGGAGGCTCGATGGAAGTATGAGAAGGAGAAGGAGATCGCCCGACGCGTGAAGGCCGGGAAAAATAGGAGCGACGTCGAGTCAGAGCTCGAGTCGGAAGACCATATGCCTTTTCGAAATCAATCATAAGGATTATCCCATTCATTTTCTTGCGGTGTAACTCATGGACATTTTCATGCAGTATGACGACCCCTTCCAGGATGTTTCGTCCACGCATAAATGTCGTTTGAGTTGGGCTAATAACTTTGTCCGCAATTAGGTTAATTCTTAGTGTTGCTACTTTGGTGAATATCTTGAAGCTCACATTAAGTACACAAATAGGTCGATATTGCTGGATGACATTTGCCTCCTGGACTTCAGGTAATAAGGTAATCACCTCAAAGTTAAGACTAAAAATTGGCAGCTCTCCTCTATGAAGATCATGGAACATTTGCATAAGGTCTCCCTTTATGGTTCCCCAGAATTTCTGATAGAATTCAGCAAGAAAGCCATCTAGGCCCGGTGCTTTGTTATGTTCCATATTGAAAACCGCAATCTTGACCTCCTCCTCTGTGAAAGGGGTAGTCAAGAGGTCATTTTCATATTCAGATACCTGAGTAATATCCTCAGTCCGATCATCTAGACTAAAAGGTCTCTCTTCACGTTCACTAAACAGATCTTTATAGAAGTTCGTAATATATTCTTTTAGGTTTGCTTGCCCCTCAATTCTCCCATTGGCGTCATCCAGAGTAAAAATCCTCTTTTTCCTATGCTTGCCATTAGCAATCATCTGAAAGTATTTGGTGTTATTGTCTCCATATAAAATATCCTTAACCTTGGCACGCTAATAATATTTTATTTCCTCCTCTCTAAGTAGTTTGGTAAGGTGATCCTGGGACTGAGCAAGGAAGGTGCGCTCAGCCTCAGTCAAATCCCTTATCTAAGCTGCAGTATCGAGATCTGTGATTGTGGCTTGCAATCCGGCTTTCTGCTGCTTATAACTTCCATTTATGTTGGAAGCCCAGCCACGCAGATGCCGCCGCAAGGCGCTAAGCTTATTGTTCCACCGCTGCACCTAATTATTCCCTCTTACTGGCTTGTTCCATACTTCCACGACTCGGTCGAAGAAATCCTCATGTGTGAACCAGCTTAGCTCAAACCTAAAAGGCTTCGCTCCCCCTGAGTATGCGGGCTGTCCCAGTGTCCAGGAGAAGCGGTGTATGATCAGAAACCCCTCTGTCTAGAGCTTGAACTGCCACTAGAGGGAATTTGAATTCCCATTCCGTAGACATTAGAACTCTATCTAGTTTTTCATATGTTGGAATAGGTAATGAATTAGCCCAAGTGAATTGACGATCAGTCAGCTCGATTTCCCTCAAGTCAAAGCTATCGATTACAGCATTGAACAGAAACGGCCATCGATCATTAAATCTTGTGTTATTCTTTTCTCCGCTATGCCTTAGAATGTTAAAATCGCCTCCAACCAAGGTGGGCAACTGATTCTGTTGGCAAGCACGAACTAGTTCAGCCAAGAAACTTGATTTAAAATCATCTTGAGCTAGACCATACACTGCCATCAAAATCCATCTAAATCTAAACTTATCAATTTTATTCGTTAAGTGAAACTTAACGTAAAATTCCCCTTCAACTATCACTGATAAGTCTAGCATAGTGGCATTAATCCCAAGGAGGATGCCACATGATCGACCTTTCGGAGGAAGGCAATGCCAAACAAAGTCAGCATCTTCTGTGAGTCGTGCCAAATTTGTTTTTGACATATCTTGTTTTCCTGTTTCCATTATTGCTATAAAGTCTAACTTGTGTTCTTTTGTTGCATCAGCAATGTATTTGAATTTAGCCAAGTCTGATAGTCCTCTGCTATTCCAAAAGAAACCCTTCATTTTAAAACTTTTAATTTTTTCCTTTTATCCTTCTTACTCTTTGATTTATGAGGACAGACCTTAAGATTACAAATCTTTGTGTCCAAGTCTTCCTCATCAAAGTCCACTTCGGAGACTTCCTGAATTAATTGTGATAGTAAATTGCCTGTGGATTCAGCGACATCATCATCACTGTCTTCCTCCTGTGTGGCTATCCCAATATTAGTTTTACCTTTTTGGGTCAGCTGTAATTTCCTCCTATCAATTTCAATTCGTTTTAGCGCATTAATGGAAACATTTACACTACTAATGCAGCTCTCGCCTTGTTTAAACCCAACCCTTTGTAAATTTTCCGCGCATAAATCAGACGGCATGCCTACAAAAGAAATGGAAGAAGACGGGTCGGGGTTACCATTCATTTGTAGTTGTGGGATGAAAGGCGATTGTGGCATCCCGCATTCAGTTGCCACCGTCTTGTTCCCTAGCGGACCGTCCAAGTTCCGCTTCGCGGCTCTCAACATGGCCTTGGACAACAAATTCTCATCAGCTGCATCGACACCATTAACCTGAGAATTATTAGCCCGAAGACTGCGACGAAAACCGTCCACAGAATAGAAATTCTCAGACCTAGCATCAGAATTATTTAAAATTGAAACATTACCGTCATTGCGAACATCTAATGTTGAAATCTCAGGTGCAGCCATCGCCTTCACCAGATCAACAGGCTTGTTCGCCCCTGTCCCCTCCTTAGCTCCTACTAGCCCAGCAAGCTCAACTTCCTTTTGTTTCTGAGCTGGCGCCTTAACTAGCCCAGGTACCGAGGAAGCATCCACCGGTACCGGCTCGCTCTGTGTCATTGCCAGAGCAGGCTGATTCAACTCCCGTGCATCAACAACAGCTTGGCGCTTATGCACTGTGCTAGAATGTGTCTCCATCATAGGAGAATGTGCAACCGAATCACTCACCAAAAAAGCTGGTTTTCTTCTATCTGGAAATGGAGCGGCGGGTAAAACCGATCCCAACTGCTGCGGAGCTGGACCCCCCGCCGACCCAGGAGGTGTCGAAGGTCCAGGTTCCCTGACTTGCTTTTGTTTCTTTGCCAGATGACTGTCACCTTGCCCATCCCCAGGATAATAGCCCGGGCCATCGCCATCGTGGTCCATAGGATCATCGTCCTCTCCCAGAACAGGCACCACTGGAATAAATTTTTTGCTCTCTAGGGTGAAGGTAATGTCGTACCCAGATAGGCCAAAAACCGTATGAGGCTTTGCAGGTAGCAACTTCCTGTCCATGATTCCAACTCTAATGCGAATCACCCCCTTTTTCCTATAAGTAAGCATGTCCACCTCAAGGGTCTTCCCAATGGCTGTTCTCAGTGCCCAAAAACCAAGGTAGTGCCTCCATGCATGCGGCACTCCCGATACATGAACCCATACCTCATCAAGCTGGTAAGCAGGTTCAACATCCCCATTTGTTTGGCATGCTGACACTAGCAGAATAACGCCATGATTCTTCAGTTTGAACTCCACCTCAGACATCCTTTGAAGTTCATCTTCTGATGGGAAGGCAACTAAAAAGGAGTTCTCCTCATGAGGTAAAGCTTCCCAATTCCAATCTGCCCGGGAAAACCTCGCCAGCTCCTCCTGAACCACAGCAGCCGCAGGAGAACCCCCTGATACTGTCACCAATGCAGTTGGGGATAATTCAAGATCATCCTGCTTCATATCAAAATCAGGCATCCCATAAAAGCATAGACCATTCGTAGCATAACCGTACATGCTAGTAGTCGGCTTTGGTAATCTGAGAAGCGGGCATCTAATGGGCAAGTGGTTGTTCTTCTTATTGCAAATGTGACAATCCAGCTTTACCTTGCAAACATCTGCTAGATGCCCATTGGTCTTGCATCTGAAACAGTGTGGAGGTCTCGGCTTCTTCGCCTTGACTGCAGCTCCCTCAGATGGAGGCACTATCTGATTTACCTCGTCGACCCCATGTGCAGCAATCTGCTGATGCGGATGAGGAGGAACTTCATTAAACCTAGGCTGGTAGTGCGGCACATAACCTCCATGACCGGAGCCACGTCCAGGTCCTCTCCCTTGCTAGTAGGGAGGAGCCCGGTTATAGTGACGAGGCCCCCCACCTTGAGACAGGTCGTGGTTGCCGGGCGGACCTTGGCCATGCCCAGCGGTAGCTTGGCCGGCCGGTGGTGGAGCATGCCCACGTGAAGGCGGCCCGTTGCCGCGCGGGGGAGGGCCCTGCCCGCCAGGCGGCGGGGCGTGGTTCTGCCGATTCGGAGCAGGAGGCCGAGCCGCCATCTCCGCGTAGGTAGGCCGATCGGCGACAGATCGGCGACAGAGGATCGTGAATGCGAAATCGTCCGTGGTAGATTTTCCAGCGTTCGAGCCCTAGGACCGGTTCCTGAAGAACCCGTCCGAGCCAGACTATAGGCTCGAGCCTGCCTGACGAGGTGCAACCTGCGCTTTTCCGCGACGTCTGATTCCCGATGGATCGACCGCGCATGCAAGGGATCGGGCTGGACCGTTTCCACCCGAGCAGAACTCGATGTGAAGTCTCCAGGCGGAAAGGCATGCAGCGCATGCAAGGGATTGGGCTGGACCGTTTCCACCCGAACAGAACTCGATTTGAAGTTCTCAGGCATAAACGCATCCAGCTTAATTTTAGGAAGATTTTTTTGAGTTAAATACACAGACGGCCCTTAAACTTGTGGCTTTGTGCCACTTAGGTCGCGTCCACGAACTCTCAAAATCAAAATCTAACTCCCTAAACTTGTTAAGTCGTACACTGCAGGTCTATACCCCTTCATGTGGGTGCTGACTAGGATAAAATTTATAAAAAAACACCTCCAGCAATGCCCAGCTTATCCTCCGAGTCCAGCCGGAACAACGCCGCGCCCTCGGGGAGGAACGGGTGCCGCGGCGACAAGCCGCTGTCGGGCTGCAGGATGTACGTCGCGCCCATGGGCCTGCACAGCACCTTGTGCGTGTTGAGGCACGGGTGAGTGCGGACTGCGGAGCACGCCATTGAGGCGCAGCGCGATGGCGTGGCCTGGGTAGCGGCACGAGAAGGCCCTGTGCACGTCGCGGTGCATGCCCACGGACCGGATGTGCGCCTCGCGACGCCCAGACGCAGCTCCCGCCGGAGAACATGGAGGGCGCCCCGAACGTGACCACCGGGCATAGAGCGTTGGCCGTCACCACGCCGCGCGCCAGCAGCATTAGGCTGACGAGCACCGCGAGGCTGCCGAGCCGAGCGAGTGGCCCGTGAGCCTCGATCTCCGGCATCACCTGCTCGTAGATGCCCTTGGCCGCCTCGTAGATATGCCCGGTGCACCAGCGCCCCCCGTGCCCTCGAACTCAGTGGGTTCGAACAGGAGGTTGGCCTGCGACGACGCCAACGAGTCGGAGCCTTGGATGCCGAGGCACCGGGTCCGCACGTCCGCCTCATCGTAGAAGAACCACTTGCACGGCGACGACAACGGCGACCGCAGGTCGCGGGCCGCCTCCTGCCGCGCCTCGTCCTTGGCGGCCACCACAGCCGTCACCGTCAAGGCGGCCATGTTCGTGGCCACGCCCGAGTTGTACAGCCTGCCCTGACGCGCCTGCGGACGTAGGACGCGACCGTCGCCGCCACCTCGTAGGATAGGTGCGACCGGATGGGCCGGCGCGGCTGTGGGCCGGAGGCCACCTCATACACCGGCGCAGTGCACGGCCACGTGGAGTCCGTGTCCAGCTTGGCACGTATGATGCCGGCCTCCGCCTTCTCCAGAGATTGATCATTCATCTACTAAAACTAACAGGTTTTCTATCATGTAAATTTTAACTCGAATAATAAGCATCGAATAACGTCCCTGGTCGCCTAGACCTGCGGCAGGACGTCCAACCAGCGCCTCTGAGTCTCCCTGCTCGAGAGTCCAGCAACCGGAGTCGCAGCGCGCCACGATGATCCGGGAGATCACCATCATCGCGTTGTCTGCCACCAGGAGATCGGCAAGGCTACACGCGTTCAACCTTAGCTACGGGGCGTGAGGGACGCCGGCGGACCGCCTGGTGATGAGTTGCACGGAGCTGTACAAGGACTGCCTCCGCTCCGCGGCGTATGCGTTGGCCAGGGTGACCAACATGCCCGCATACGATGACCGCGTGGCTGACCCCTGAGCGCCCTGCGTGTGTTCGTGGAGAAGTGCCAGAGCCCCTTCGACGTGCAGGAGATCACGTCACAGCTGGAGCAGGTGAACCGGGAGTCCGGGACTCGGAGGATAAGCTGGGCATTACTGGAGGTGTTTTTCATAAATTTTTATTCTAAGTCAGCAACCAAGGGATATGGACCTACTTGCTACAGGTTCAGGGCCGCCGGTATATTTAACTCATTTTTCTTTTTCGGCTGGGGACCTTTCCATGGACGAACTGCATATCCACGACGCGGAAGGACTGCAGGAAGTTTGATTTCGTAGCATCTTCCGACCCGAATCAAGGCCAATAACAGCGTTTCGTTGATCATCCACTCGAATCGATCTCGAGCTTGAACAACCACTGCTTTTGGGTTCGCAATTAATGGCGCATTGATCCAAAGAACCTTTACGTACCTGGCCAGACGAGCAGTTCGATGTTGATTCAAAGCCGGCGAGGATTGCTGTCTCCACCAGCTCCGCGAGTATGGCCTCCTCCTCGTCGATCCCCCCAACGAACGAGGCCTTGGCAAGATTGTCTTGTGAGGAGTTGGTGCCGGCGAGCGTCGAAGATTCCACAAGAGATGGATCCGTTGCCGCAGACTGAGCCGCCTCCGACGGACGGAAGGCCATAGTCAAACGGCGTTTGAATCTCGCCGCCTCCTCCTTAGAATGAATAACGACGGAATCCTCCGAGGCAGGCGGTGAAGAAATGCCGGAGCTGATGTAGAAGTCCGCATCCGGCACCGAGCAGGAGCGGCGTCCACCTTCCAGATCCTGTTCACCATCTGTCACAAACACTGAAACTGCCCGTACCTGTTGCTCGGCCTGCACCGAAAGGAACGTCGGAGCTGCGGCGGGCGCCGAGCAGAACGTCGTCGGACTGGAGGGGGTCGCCAGAACTGCAGCGGGCGCTGGGCAGAAGGTTACCGGACTTGAGGAAGGAGCCGCCGGAGGGGATCCGACGGGATCTGGGGGCTTCGTTGGTGTGCCCGGCGAGTCGCCCCCAACGGTCATGTCACCCCTCCTCCCTCGGAACTGTTTCATGTGCCAGCCCCTCTATTTTCATCTGCTCGCATGTTCGTCTTCATCTTCATTGACCAAAATGTTCAATAGCATTATTGCATCAGCCTTGACTTCACGGGCCCACACTCTTTCATTGTAGACTGCCACGCAGGTACGCTTCAGTAGCTTACCGTCATACAGACGTGCGTCAGTTTTCAACCTAAGTAGCTCGTCCTTTGAGAACATCTGAAAGAAACACTCTTTGGCCCATTACTTAAACTAGTATAGTGCCCGTGCTAACGATACGGCTTTATTCTGGGAATCACATGGAAATTACGAAACAACGAAATTTTTTGATAGTTTAAGTCACACGCAATGGTACATAACGATGTATTTATCTGGAAAACACGCATGCATAACAAGGCATAATAAAGTCATGTCTGACATATCTATCCTACTAATTTATGAGTTTAAGTAGATCTTGCAGTTCCCAGGGATGTCATATGTACATTCATTTGCGCTGCTCTTCAAAATGTCAACTAAAAATTTCGTCCTCAGTGAATCTGACCTCTGCGAATGATATAGATAATATATAATAAGTTAACTTACTGATTTGGTAGATAACATATAAAATATACATAGAAATAGTTTACGCTTACTATGTTGACAAACGACGATAATCTTTCGCCATTCCACAACTTTAGGTAGTTGTAGACAAGAAAGCCTGCCAATTTCCTGGAGAAGAAGAGCCCAAGTGTTTATTTGTTGTAGTTAAATCAAATCACTATTTATTTGATGGTAAGATAAGATAAACACAATATAAGTTGTTACCAGTCCATAGCTTTTGGAAGATATAGTTTTAATTGACGACGCCAGAGGTAAACATTCTCTTTCCATGCAGGATTGACCAATGTCATGGAGAAACTGAAATAATTCAAAACTATCTCTAATATACCATTATATGGCATGATTGGATCTAGACCCGAGTACCATAGTTTTAGAGAATGCGGATCTAGAATGTGCACAATTTTGTTACCCATGTCAAATATGAATAAAATATAGTTCCTATCTCGAAAATATGGCAATAGAATCTGTAAACAAACAAAAAAAAACCATAAGTGCAATACAAAATATAAGTTTTCAAAGGAGTTTAATGAACATATATCTTACAAAGGTTGCAATTTTGTATTTTGTAGTCCCTATCAGGCCCGCATTGAAGCAATTTTGCTAGTTCTTCATAGTCTATCCAATTCGCAACACCTTGGATCTCGTCCCAAACTGAGTTCTCGATCGTTGTTTTTTTTTGCAACAATTATCACTATTTAATTAATGATACAACTAACAAATGATTTATATACATTAGTGAAAAATTATATCAACTTACAAAGCAAACCGGAGGTCCATATAGTGGTATTTGTCTTTCTCCAACATAGAGGCGTTATTGGATGCAGCCATCCAAACAGCAAGGTTGAAGCAATTATGATCCATCTCCATATTCTCGCTTAAAATATCGCCAATTTTTGTACGAAAGTTAAAGAAATCGGATACGGTCGTGTGCTTCGGACCCATTCTTTGCTAAAAACCCAGGACAACAAACAAATGAATTATCGTAGCAGTTGTAGCAGGGGTGATGAAAATCTTTAAATTAGAACAAAATAATTTACTTTAGAATGACTTACTCTAAAGATTCAGGGTCATTATTCAACAGGATGCATGCACGAAATGCGCACAATAGGTCTTGTTTGTTTGTCCATGTTATTGTACCCGACAAAAGATTATCATATCTATTTCATCTGGATTATCGAGCATTACAACATCATCATCAAGATTATTGTTGTCTTCCATATCTTGCTCATCATCCTGTAACCCTCTCGCTATGTTTAGCGTGGAGTTATACAAGATCGCAGTAGCTTGAACCTAAAGTTACTTATATCGTCCTAAAAATATGAGCAAGTCGTGATTATTAACCAAACCAAAATAAAAAATATTTAGAAATAGTCTTATGAAATTACCTGGTCACACAAATCCACGATAAAGTTGTTCCAATCCAAAGACTCCATATAATTAAGCATCCATAAACCGCAACTTACACTGTGCAAATATTACAAGTAAAATATGAGTGATACAGGTACTGTTGCTGGTGTGACAATGCCATGTACACAAAAGGTATAGTTGATCTTTTACCCATCTGTTTGCGCTCTTTTAGTGATCATATGTTTAGTTGGCCAAGATGACACTTCGATACCGTGTTTCCATTTTTGTCGGTCCAGTTGGATATGCTCTGCTACATGCTTTATCATTCTTTCCATTCATATTAACTTTATAACGGAAACACCAAGTTTTAGAAAGGGAATATTAAAAAATTTAAAAACAATATGTATGTATGTATATCAATCATAAGCCACACCGTATATTCAAGATCTTGAAAGTTTGACATTTGGTCTCCGAAAGAGTCCAAAACATGTATCTCGCCTATTGAAGCATTAACAATCGCTACGTACCAGTGGAACTTCACAATATTTATAGGAAGGAACACCTGCAATAATGGAGTTTTATCCAATTTATTTATATTTCTTTTAATCAACAAAAAGTAGCATCTATTAGAGTTTGTGGTCAAGCGTACCATATCAGCCTTCAAATAATTTTGGACCCATGTTTCAACCACGTCATTTCTGCTATAGTTCCATGTTGTTGCAGGGGGCTCTCCATCACGATGTAGCAATTGAGTAATAAAGGTATTTTCTAAGTAAACATCTCCACCTTCTCTATGGAGCAGGTGTTCTTCATGCCGCATCAATTGGATGTACGCACTTATGACCTGCAGGTTTGTAATTTGTCAATTAAAAATTGGCATATATTTTGCATGGACATCAGCTAATGCAAAAGCAGTGTTAAAATGCTTACAGCGCCATTCACTTGCACATCAGCATTTAATAGGCAATCCATGTCATCTCTAATTACCCAAGCATCGTCAATTCAGACAAGTAAACTTTTTTCCTTTTTTCCTTTCATGTAGTGAATTACCTTGACATCTTCTTCTGTACACTCATAGTCTGCGTTGAAAATAATTTTATTAATTAATTAATTTAAAAAATATATAAAAAATAAGATACTATTGAAGAAAATGACTCACCTTGAGGCAGGACCTTTGCATTATTCGCCTTCTTAGGTTTATTATATTGAGGAATCGCAATCACATCCTTGTCAGCATGCTTTCTGGCTTCGTCTTTTTTTATATTAACTATTTCTAGGACATTGTCTTTGATTTGCTCTTCTTCTTTGATCCGCACTTATTCTACATCTCTATTACTTATCTGCATATGCAATATTATATTATTAGTGGGTGATGCAACCCATATAGATAAACATGAGTGAGGATATGTGAGTAGCTTGAGAGTTCCTTGCGTACCTCATCTTTGTCAGAACGCTTCCGCTTCCTGTCATCGTGTCTCTTCCCGGTGGCCGTCTTCGACGAACTCCTTTTATCACAGGCGGGCGAGGACGTGATTTGGGCGCGCTAACGGTGTTCAAAACAAGAAAGCAAAAAAGAAATGGCAAGAAATAGATATTTATAGAAAGAAAGAATAAGAAAAGGAATTGATAGATATATCTTGCATGCAGTTTTTTGCGCAAATCAAGCATCACGTCAAGATGACTGATTTGCATTTCAATGCATGCGTTCGAACATGGGCTAGTTTTTAGGCATGATTGATTTGCAAGGTCACATTGCTAGTTTTTTTTTGTTGTCTATAAAAATAGAAACTCCAGATAGCCTGTGCATGCACACGCCCTCATATATGTTATTTGTTTTCTTTTTTTTTTATATACAGGAAACGTATAACGGTATATATGTCACCATTTATTTTGATTGATTCCGGAAAATATGTCATGGTGATGTCATCATGACACCACCTGTTTCGAGCGCACAGGCCATCCGTAGAAAACGTGACAACGTTCCCTTGTGTATTTATATTTATTTAAATAAAACAAACAAGAAGCATTTATGAGGGATGCATTGAAAGGCAAATATGTCCAAGATATTTTTTGCAGAGAGATATATCTAGATCGTTGAAAGGCAAAGGAAAGAGAGACGAGGGAAAATAATGGAACAGTAGAGATTGGTTCTGAAGGTTTCAGTTTGCAGGTAAGAATTGACATTATACCAACACATAAGAGAAAAAAATACATGAATTGCTGTACTCTCGAGGATGAATTGCTGCACTCTCTGAGGACTCTTTTTTTTCTCTCTCTCTAGCCAAGTAGTTCAGAGTTCAAACACTAATTTGTTGGTACAGAAAATGTTACCTAGATGTTTGCCGAGCCGTGAAAGTGCTTAACTCAATTATCAACCGGTATATTATCAGTGCTTAATAACAAATGGCTGGACTAATGGCTACCGTCTCTTAGTCTCTTGCGCGTATGATGATTATTAAAACTAAAACTGTGCACTGCCACATATTGAAACTGTGCACTATGCATCACTGAATATAACTGAAACTCTGAATCTCTACTAAGAAGGCTAGGATTTCTGAATGTCTGAATATAAATGAAACCGTGCACTATGTATCTCTTAATATAATTGTAAAAAGGCTAGGATTAAAACTGTAAGAAGTATGAATGTCCCTGGCACCATGTATAGATATGCCTGGCTGCAAAAATTCCCTCATCGAAGCCTCCACTCCTGCCTTTCCGTCTGTTGTCAGACATGCTACAGGAACCAGACATTCCTTGCATTTCCTCACAGACGGTCCCAGAGCAGCCAAAAGAAGCTGAAAATTTTGAACCCAAACATCATATAAGAGATAGATGAAATATATATACTGTCACCATGCACCATACAGAAGAACTTACGGCTTTCGCTATAAAATTCTACAGCAAGTTGGTACTCACAAAACTAATAACTGAATCTGGAACCAAAAAGGGACAATGTCATGTTAACTGAAACTGAACATATTGTGTTAACTGAAACTGGAACCAAACAGGGCACAATATTGTTTATATATATTCAAATA